CAGCAGGAGTGATACTTGGGATTAGTTCTTACTGAGGAGGAATGAAATGCTTCTTATATCTGGCACAGTAGGTGAGCGTTTGTGGTCCTTCCCTTGTTACACGTCTCTGATTCCAGCAGTCAGAGATCTAGGAGCTCCCTGAGCCAGCGGTGCGATCCGGACCGCTGTGCTTTATCGTCACCTCTAGGCCCATGATCCATTAATTTCTCCCATTTCTTTCTTTAAACTCATTTATACTTTTGTCTCTACTGTATTTTCTGGCAGTAAATCTATTTATGTATTGTGTAGAAAAATACTTGCGCTTCTTTTTAACCCTCCGTCTGATAATTTCACTTAGAGCTGCATAAATCTTAGGTTCTATGGAATAGCTGCTAGTCATTTCCAGCTTGCTTTCTTTTCATTATTCATGGCTCTTTGGCGCATCACAGTCCTCCTAAATGGATTTTATGTGAAGCGATTGTGCGGTCTTTGTTTTATAACCTTTTGTCTCTTCTCAGCTCACTGACAAATCAAGTAAAAAAATCGCCCTCCTTAAGTTAAAGAGGAGGCTCCAGCAGTACAGATAGCTGTGGCCCAACTTACTTTTCTCCTCTTCAACCATGAGCCGAGTCATTTAGCCCATCGGCACAGCTCCCTGTCTGGAAAAGGAGAGCGCGTGTTGGAGGACCAGTCTCCCAAAGCAAGCAGCTCTGTGCAGGGACTCCAGACACGCAGATACGAGTGACACGGTCCGCTTGGACGTCCAAGCACGGCCCTTCCTTGCCTCTCAGCATGCTGGGTTTAATCAATAGTTTAACTGTCCAGGAAGAGAGTGCTGTTACTGTTATGACTCTTGTTCTGTATGCCCTAAGACTCGCATAACTTGTAGTATTTATGGTACTGTGTAGATTCATGTTGGAGATATGAGTGAGTTGGGGAGAGGAAAAGTTACCTAATGCATTAAGTAGAACAGCAGAAGCTGTACGCCAGAGTCTACAGTAGTGTCGGGAATAGAAAATGCTTTACAGTTATGCAGCATTTCTCTTTAGTTGTTCTTTAATGATGACATAACTCGGCTATAAAACATATCTGAGTGGTATTTTATTGTATTTGTACTTTGGAATGGAATGGAGCTGTAAATCATGCACAGTGCGCTGAAAATTTGACGACAGTGTTTTTGTTCTGTCCTGTGTTCTTACTCCTAGGATATCAATAACTAGAGTGACAGCTGACATTTCTCTTGCTAAGAGGTCTGTTCTAAATAATCCAAGCAAGAGGGCAATAATTGAGCGGTCAAATACAAGATCCAGCTTAGGTAAGACACTGACACAGATGTAATTCTGAACATGGTTACATCCTGGAGGGAGGGGACAGGATTTCAGCCTTCAAGATGTCATCAGTTCTGCGATTTTAAATGGGTCTACAGCATTTTAATGTATAATTCTGGATTTCACGTGCTCACATGGGAGACAGATTTTTCCTGACTGAGGAGGGGCAACAGAGCGCGGTGTTCTGCGTTAGCCTCGCACTAAGCGATCACCTGGGCTAGAGCAAGCGGTGTTATAGCTGCAAAAGGTGAGCTAGGGGCCTGCAGTCAGTGTGGGTTCAGTGCTGTTTCCTCCCAAGGTGAGTCGGCCTCCCAGCTCCCTCTCCGCAGCCCTGTGCTTTTAATTCCACGTCACAAGGTGCCGAAGAGCTTCCACCTTGTCCAGCCAAGAAGGAAACATGCTGTTCCTGACCCTGGGGCTGGTTTTGTATTCAGTGTTGCACAGCGACAGCTTAATTTTGCTGTTCAGCCGTGAGACTCTGGGTCTCCCCACCCCCTCCTCAGTGTCATGGCTGCTGGGTTACACTGGCCTGATGAATTTTTATTTCTTTCACAAGGGTGGAAATTTGTGTGTAGCATATGCATGCCAATAACCTGGTCGCTGGGACGCCATCCTAGGAGGTAGGAGAAGTTGGTTTTTAAAGTCTTCTTGGGAAGAACAGGCTCTTAAACCCAGTTCTCTGGCATCCTGAGTGACTGTTTGAACTAGAGGTATAGGTCGTAGGATGCTTCACTTCTATTTGGCATTCTAGTACAGGAGTAGGCACCCCAAAATTAAGTGCTGCAAAGGTGAGTACTAAATCTTCTTGTGCCTGTGAACATGGGTTGCTCTGTGCAACAGCCCTCGGGCAAATTAAATGCATGTGAGTTGCTGACGTACAGCCCTTGTGCTTTGGTGGTGTAACTTAGAGGCTTCAATTTGCGCTGAGTTTACCCATTCAAAATGCGCCACATGCATGCGGATGATTAAGAAGGGTCAGAACAATGAATATCAGAATTACAATTTACATGGAAGTAAATCTCTCCTTTTCTTCAGACAAAAGTACTTTGGTGTGAGCGTTGCCATTAGTGTCTTTTTAAATAATACCCTGTCAGTTATTTAACGTAAACAATTTTTGGTGGTTATAGAATTAGGAGGTCACAGTTCTGCTTTTCATACAGACTCTTGTTTAAGTTAAATCAGAATTAAAATCTGAGAACAAAAAAAGTTTTAAGAAATATCCATACATCACTTGCTGTTGAAAATAAAAGATCTTATGGCTCCTCAGCTATTTAAGCAGATTTGGAAAATCAGCTTAGGCCTATTTTGTGTTAACAGAAACATGCATTTAATTGTACCCGATGTTCAATACACTGATACTACAAAGGAACGTAGTAACTATGTATTTTCAGGCAACAGAATTGTCTCAAAGGTAATCTTTATTTAAAAGATTGCCTTGAGTCATAGGTTATTTTATGGAAATTGCATTAATTCACATACGGAGTTCATATCCTGAATGTATACAGTCTATAAGTCTATAAGTGGGTGATGATATTTTTGTCTAAGTTAATGCTGGGGTTGAATGGCTTTCACCTGTTTTGTTTGCCTTTACTAGCTGAAGTACAGAGCGAAATCGAAAGAATCTTTGAGCTGGCAAGGTCCTTACAACTGGTTGTCCTAGATGCAGACACTATCAATCACCCTGCACAACTTATCAAGACATCTTTAGCACCAATTATTGTCCACGTTAAAGTGTCTTCTCCAAAGGTAATGTATCTCACCCTTAAAATATGTGCGCTTGAGCGGGACCTGGAGGGTGGTGTGGGAGTGAGCAGTGTGTTGTCTGCACCTGGAGAAACGAGGAGTGAGATGAAGAGAAAAAAAGTGTCATTTTTAGATCAAGGGCTTGACAAGGGAGTGTCTGATGCAGTTTCCTTTTTCTGCCCTAAACCTTAAACTAGCCTTAGGCTGAGTCTTAGACAAGGCACCTACCTGTTCAGTAGACAAAAAAATTCCTGAGGAGCAAATTCTTTCTGTAGCTCTCAGTTCCCCTGTCAGTCCCCCTGCAGCCCCCTTGCCCCAACACAGCTGTAGTTCTGGGTTGTCTCTCTACAAGCCCTAACCTTAGGCTGAGCTTCAGAGAAGACGAACAGCCCTTTGCCCGCTTCCCCAGCAGTTAATGGTAGTTGTCCATTGATCACAAACGATGTCTGCGCTTGTCTGTGGCTTCTGCCTGGGGCATGTTGATACACCATCCACAGCTGGGTCTGGACCAGTGTGGGCAGGCTGCTGGCCAGCTCCTGCCACGTGGCATGACTGCGACCATTGCTCAGGAGCGCAGCACGGACCCCACCGCGACCATGGCTGTTAGTGCAGAAGGGGGCCTGGAGTCACGACAGAGACTCTGGGTCTCATGGGATTGGCACAGCAATGGTGGGATGCGGCCCAACGCCTGCTGGAGTGACCACCGTGGCACATCAGAGATGTCTGCAGAGAGCCGTGGCCAGTTCTTGGTGCAGGTGACCAGCAAGTGACTGGGGGTGGGGTGGTGGTGTTTCTGCTGGACCTGTTACCTGGGGGAAAAAGGAAGAACTGGACAGAGTTGTGAAGGTCCAGGACAGCCTTGGCTGCAGCAACCGTAAGATGGTGGAATTTAAGATCCTGAGAGAAGCGGGCGGTACAAATAACAGAATGGCAGACCTGGACCCTGGAACTGGCTCGTTCAGGGACCTGTTCAG